AATGCTGATTTGACAAAATCCATGAAAGACAGATAAGACCTGACTGTCAACGCCGCGCTAATCGGGGCAGAATATTTCGAATTAGCGAAAACACACTCGGCTGTAACGAGCTACGCAGGACGACCTCAGATATGTAATAGTCTGCAGCACCGCTACCGATGTTTGATGGGGTATGTGTGAGGTATTTCCGGTAGCCGGTATCGACACAGATTCCCCAAAGTAAACCCGGTATGCGTGAAGTTCTTGTTTCGCGGCACAGGTGGTAGAATTCCTCGAGGTTCCGGACAATTGTGTGCGCCGCCTTCGCATGACACACGTCCTGGTCACACCCCGATCTGATCGGGGGCTTACTCGCGAAAATTTGCTGGCATCTGAAACAGTTCGGCGGAGCCAATAGGCTGCATTCGTGCGCCGCGCAAGAGAGACACGTTCCTGGATAAAACATTGCATAGATCAATGGCATCAATAATTCATGCGCCAATGAGACGGTGGCCGACAGCGGAGAATTCGCGCCCGCGGCCCGAATGCGAGTTATCCGATACCGCGCGTATCGTGATAACAGATGCTGTACGCGTTCCGCGAAAGAGGGAAAACTCTTCGGATTTAGCCTTCGCGTCGCAACCGGAAAGAGGCTGCGGTCACCGTTAACTCCCCTTCTGCTTCTCCTCGACGGGGATCGACAGAAATCCTCTTTTATTAAGTCTTAACGGACACGTTATTTTTATAACGCGAACGGTATGGTACATTGCGCCGCATGACGCGGTGCGTTGGACGCGAAATACGATTGCGGTGTACGCGAAAATGCACTTTGCATCGCGACCGTGACGGAAATTTATACGCATCTATAAACCGGTCTGGGAATTATCACGTGTTTGTGGAATATTTTTAATTATGTCCATTATTCGTCATTACACGAAGCTAATTTCGCGACAGCACATTCACCAGTTTATAGCGTAGTAGAAGCATGCTTTATAACGATATGACAATTAAATTCTGCTATAAAAAAAAACTGCCAATTCGTACATAGATCAGCTCATGTTTTAATCGCGGTATTTCGTTTTTTTCCCCCCCTTTGTAATTCGCTTTATTGTGTTCGCGTCGCAGTGCACGCTTTATCGTGTTCGAATGGCTTTAACAAAATTATTAATGTTGCCGCGCAAGGCAAAACTGTTGGCACCTGAGCGCGAAAGTAGAAACGATCCGGGAATAACCCGGCGCGTGCCGAACGCTAGACGTATTTCTCTAAGGTATTCTCAATTCAAAAGATAGATAGGTCAGCTCGGAGTATCGACATTTTCTCAATAGATTTGTTTACACGCTCAATTATTCTAATCGGAAACATAAAATGCAAAAGTCATTCGGCAAGGTAACGCGAGAACACGCTCAAGCGATACTTCCTACATCAGAGTCAATCTTTATATATCGTTCCTATTATATAGCGTAAATGTATCATGAAACAAGTCCTATCTAAATATTCTCCTTTTTTAAGGATATATTTCAGAAAAGAAACATATATAAAAATAGGAGAAGCGATTATTTCTTAGATTTTTTTATATCTCTAAATAATCGATCTGTTAAATTGACGAATAAAACTATCTTGCAAGAGTTCTATAAAAAATTCACAACTTTGCAAGGATGAGCAAAATCTGCAATGTCAAAAAAGATGCATGTATTAATTGATCGTAATTTGAAACGCATATGATACTTAGAGAAGCATATATTGATATTATGGAATGTATACATTCGCTATAACGGCTATCACGATTTCAGGATCGCTACGGTGACACAGGATCATGGCGTCATAGGCGCATTATCGAATTTCCTCATCAAGCCTCGTTGAATGGAGCTACTTCCTCATCGAGCTCTGTTGAAAATAAATCACCGTCCGCATCGGGCGACTCGGTGTCATAATGCTACCGCGCTGTATCTCGCGCGCCAAGATAACAGCCCTTCGGCTTTCGTATCATAGTAATTCCGTTTGAGTGTCACGCTAATGGCAAAGATAAAATCCAACGAGATCGTACAATTAAATGCTATATCGAAAAACGCAATTACCTCTGGTATGTCGAGCGACTTTAACTCGTGGAATTCTCGCTCCTGCACATCTACCGGCGGGCTTTCGCATCGGTCTATCTTACATTCTATTACTATTTTCCGTCCATTAATCGCCGTGCCGAGCGTCGAATCAATTCTCGTCCGTCTTCGCTCTTCCGTGCACTAAAATTTGTACAATTCCCGATCTTGCGAAATCTCATATGAAGAAGATGTATTGTTTCGATATTTCGCGTCGCTTTGACAGAAAAGAAGAATTGGCTAAAGATATAGCTGCCAGATAAAGCTCCATTTTTCTTACAAATTGAGTTACTTTTTTATAGCTTGTATCATTTCGCAGAATTATCCTAGATTCCAAGTTATATTTAAAAAGGTGGTAATAATAGACTCTCAACTTTAAAGAATATATGAAACTCGTCATTTGTAGTTTATGCACTATTAAAAATTGCAATTAAAAATTTCTTATAAAATTTTATTTAAAATAATGCGAAATAATACTTTTCGTACTCGCGTTTGTGTGTGTGTGTGTGTCTACGCGTATTATTCAGAATAATAGATCTTTCACGGGCGTGCACTTCGTTAAAGCCAGCCATGTCGCTAGGAAACATACATATATATTGAAATGTTCGAAAACACAGCAACTACAACTAATTATCAAGTCTCGAACTAGCACAGGCACACCGCACGCGCTTGTTATCCCAGAGGATTCTCACACCAATAACCGCTCCATCCGGAGGTATTTAAGAAGACGTCATTCGTGCATCCCGTTACTGCATTTTCTCAAGTAGACATCACCCCCCGACGGCGTCTACCGGGCCCCTTCCGCCGTCTATAATGATGTTTCCCCGAGCTTCAGTCTCTCAGGAGCGCACGTCGTGCTTGAACGTCGCTGAAAGATCAGAACTAGGGCGAATGATGTCGGTGACAGACGGACTGGGACGACACTCTTGGGATCGCGCGAAAAGACAGAACAGGCAGGCCGACCAGTCCCTCGGTGCCGGAAGGAAGAAGGGAAAATGCCGACTGTTTACCGTGAAATCATTTCTCTTGCACGAGACGACGCTGCGCGAAGAAAAATCCTTGAAATTGAGAGGAAATATCTATCGGAATTTAATGGCGATATTTGACAGTCATTATTCTTTCATTTCTTGAGAATTCTAGACAACGCCTCGGGAACTTTATCGAAAACTAGTTCATCGATCCTGATTAAAACAAAAATAAATTTATCAGCTTTCCATATAACGAAAATGTGAATTTGGCACGTATCCCACATTTTTGAATCCTTCTTTTTTTTCACGTTTGACTGTGAAAAATATACAGAAATTCTAAAACTCTTTGAAAAAAATCCCGAGAGTTTGTCAATTATAACGAAATTCTCGCTAATTTTATAGAAATGTCGATATTAAGCGAAAATAACTACTTCGAGAAACAAAATGCCGGTAGTTGCCCTCGTTCGGTATTGAACGGCGCGAGGCGGCCCATGTGGGAAATGACTACCGGCGAGATAATGGCCCAGTACCGATTTCTGGTACTGAGTATTGGCGCGTTACTAGATGCCAGTACTGATGTGGTGCTGGAGAAATACTGGGATGATAGAATTGGGCCAAGACTCGAATTACAGTACTACTTTGGTACAGGATTTCAGTAGGGGGCTGCAGTATCGATTTCCAGTAGTGCTGCAGTATCGATTTCCATTATTGTTACGGTATTAAATCAGTACCGATTTTCAACATAACAGTACTAAAAATCAGTACCAATCCCCAATACAGTAACAGTATTAAATATCTGTACCGATTTCAAATACTATTATAGTATCAAAAATCAATACTGATTCTTAATACTGTAACAATATTTAAGATCAGTATCAATTTCCAATAATTATTATCAATTTTGTGCGCGATAATCAAATTAAATTACAGTATTATTATTAGAATTT